TATTTCTTACAGATTCTGTAGAATCACGTCGAGATTGTATTGGTTGTATTTGTCTATTTGATGCCATTGTAAGCTCTACGTGTACGCAATTACTTTAGCCAGACATACTTGTCTTCAAAAATAAAAAAGAAAAATTCTTTTTCCTCGTTCTGTTTTTGTGATAAGCAAAATGAAAATACACCACAGTTATCAATTTTTCTCACGGCCTGCTTTTATTTTTTGAGGTTTTTTTCTTTGGTGTAGACGTCCGACACAAACGAGGGTTCTTTAAACCTCTCGATAGAATTTGCTTGTAATATCTGTAATGCACGTAATAAAAGAAAGAAAGAGAAAGGAAGTGTCACTTTACTCAATAACACTATCTCAGTTTAAGAAGTTAACGTCGAAAGCAGCGCCGAATGAAGTCTTAGAATGTTAGGAAAAAAAAAGTAACTTTTTTTTTCTGCTGTCCGTCTAACATGACATCAAACAAGACGTTTGAAATAAAGAGAAGATTTGTTTTTTTGAAGAGCATTCTTCATACATAATTCAATATCGATTATTACTCAAATTCCAGTTGATATATAAATAGAACTAATTCTATAAGAGGACAACACTTAGCACGTTGTCTTCTTTTATATTGATTAGACTATGACATCAAAGTTTGTAGATGATATTATAGAATAAAATAATCTTTACAACACTTGATAGAAATCGATTCATCTAAGATTAATAGAATTCTTATAACGCAAGCAATTCTTTCAAAACAAAAAAATTATTGCTAAAAATTTCTATTTTTTTTTCATTAATAACAAAAGAAAAAATGTAAAAAACCAAATAAGAATATTCTTGCTATATTTATATTTGGTATTAATCGATTTGAATCATCATAATTACATAAATCTCGATCACCACAACATGAAACACAACCCCAACTTCGACCTTCATTATTTGGTTGACAAGGCGTTAAAGAATGTGTATAATTTTGTTGACGTTCACATGCATTACGTTTTGTACAATATTTTGTAATGATTATTTCATCAAAATTATCTAAAATATTTTATTAAAATAAATCAAAAAACAAACATCTAGAATTCTACCTGGTTTAAGTACAATTGTTAAACATGTATCAAATGTCGGTTGACAATCAGTAAAATAGCTTGAATTATTTGAATTACATTCAACATTCGAATATTTCATTGAACATTGATAACATGAAATTGCTTCAATTTCTAA